TTATATACAGGAAGAAGACCACATACCCAAAGGCAGCTACTCAGCTGCTTGTGATAGATCCCACCATGGAGTTGATTGCCAGTCTCATCATGGGGAACAACTACCACCAGCTGCCCAGCCACTCAACCAGGCCCAGCCAAGTTGACACACAAACATAACTACCACAGCAAAGAATACTGAATGTACCATGGACTGCTAGAAGAACAAATGAATCAGTCTTGGAGAAGGACAGCCAGAATGTTCTTTAGAGGTCAGAACTGCCAGACTTCTTCTCTTATACTTTGGTGATGTTATCAGAAGGGACCAGTCCCTGGAGAAGGATATCATGCTTGGTAAGGCCCAACCTTCCTTCCGTGGTAAGGTAAAGGGTTAGTGAAAAAGGGGAAGACTCTCAAGGAGATGGATTGATGCAGTGACTGTAATGATGGGCTCAAGCATAGCAAAGATTGTGAGGATGGCACAGGACCAAGCAGTATTTCATTCTGTTGTACACGGGGTCACTGTGTCCAAGTGAACTCAATAGCACCTAACAACAGGAAACAAAAAGTTGTGCCCTGCTCAAAGATGGCTGCTGACCATGCTGCTTTGTATATGTGTTGCTCCCCAAAAATCTTTCCATAGTCCTTCTTCCTCAAAGTTTCATGAGACTGACATGGGAGTTTGGGTTACTGGCAGGACCCTGGTGAACAACATACATCAAAATGGTATGGTTGGCAGCCATCTTTGAGTGGGGCACAGCTTTTTGTTTCCTACTTGGGTCAAAATATCACCAAAGATTTGGTTGCTATGCAACATGCTTGTGGCCCTTGTTTACAACAGCAATTACTGAACCAGTTCAAAGCCCTGCAAAGAACACATAAAATTGGAATCATACACCTATACAATTGTTATTTTTCATTTAGCCTTTATTTTTCAGTGTGATTAAATATTCCACAGCATGATTTTTAGAAGAAAAAATGATTCTTACAATTCCCACAAGAAGCCCTGGGGGTGCAGTGGTTAAGTGCTCAGCTGCTAAATGAAAGGTCAGGGGTCTGAACCCACTAGTCTGTCAGCAAGAGAAAGACATAGCAGTCTGCTTCTGTAATGATCACAACCTGGGAAAGCTATGGGGCAGTTCTACTCATAGTGTCTCTCTGAGTTAGAATCGACTTGAGGATTTTATTGTTGGGTTTTGATTACAACATATAGCAGTACCATTGCCAGTTGCTGTCATATGGGTTCACACTCATGGTGACTCCATGTGTGTTAAAATACAACTGTGCTCCATAAGCTTTCCAGTGGCTGGTTTTTCAGAAGTAGGTCTCCAGGCCATTCTTTGTAGGTGCCTGTGGGTGGACTTGCACCTCCTCCAACTTTCAGATGTACTGAATTAATTAATTTAAACTTTACCATTAAAAATTAAAAGAGCCAATATCTGCTTCTTGCTAGTAGTTAATAGTGGCAATAAAACCTAATATTTGTGTGATGTTTTATGATTTATAAAGTTCATTCACATTCATTACCTATTTACATTATTTTTTTTCATTATTCTTCTTAAGAAAAATATTCAAAGAGTATAAAGAATATGAAGTGAGAAGTAAGTCTCTCACTAACTCCACATATCTCAGGCAGTCACTTACAGCAGTTTCTTTTTTACTCATCCAGGGATTGTTGTTGTTGTTATTTGCTGTCGAGTTGGACCCGACTCATAGGGACCCCTCCCTGGGTTTCCGAGGCAGTGTTACTACAGAAGTAGATTGCCCAACCTTCCTTCCGAGGAGTGGCTGGTGGGTTTGAACTGCCAGCCTTCTGGTTAGTGGTCAAGTGCCTTAGGCACTACACCACCAGAGCTCCTCATCCAGGGATACATTGTTGTTATTTTATTATTCGTCCTATGTTGACTCATTTTTTCTTAAATCTTTTTAATAAAAACTAACATACATATTGAAAAGTGTAGGGTGGTGCCAAAAATTGCCCCAGGACAGGCATGCACCATGCCAAAGCAGGGTAAGAGATGATGCAAGCCAGTTACATAAGAAGGTCTCTGCCTTCCCCTCCCTAGCCAGCCTCAACAGGAATTAAGCTTTGAAAAGTGGGGAGGGGAGCATGCAGAGGATCTTAGAACTAGTCTGGGCCTCCCACTGCCATTCAGGTTGTTGGAGTGGGAGCAGAGTGAGAGAACCAACCCAGGGCCTTCCCACTCCAGGTCCCTTCAGTCATGGGCCTGGCTGGGACTGGAGGCCGAGAAAAAAATGAGGTGCAAATAGATTGAGATCACAGTTTTAGACTGCAGAAAATAGGTTTAGATTATCAAAGTGACTGAAAGATTATGGGATCTGCCCAAAATATCTTTAAGGGAAGAATCTGAGTGATTTTACAGGGCATATTTGAAAGCACCAGTAGGAGAAAAATTATGGACAAATCGATCATTTCATGTTTAAACCTATTAAGATGGTTATAATAAAATAAATAAAATAAATTGGTTATAATAAAAACAATTGTCATTTTCTTTAAGGGTTTGCAAATTGTCATTTTTTGAGCATAAACCTTTTATGGATCATCTCTTTTTATCCTGAGAACAACCTATTTTATAGATGATAAGACAAACAGGTTTTTGGAGATTGAAGAATTCACCTGATCGATGGAAACTGAATTTGCTCTGTAAACTTTCCCTGAAATCACAATTAAAAAAAAAAAAATTCAAATGATGTGTTGGACTGGCAAATCTGCTGCCAAAGACCTCTTTAAAGTGTTTAAGAGCAAAAATGTCACTTTGGACTTCCAATAAGATGGAGGAATAGGCAGATAAGCGACACAGATCCTCTTCAACAAAGAAAAGAAAAACCAATTGACAGAGATAGAGAAGATAATCCCAGAGCCCTGAGCTTTGAAAGGAACTATACAGAAGTGGATTAGGCACCAACTAGTGGAAAAACCTAAACGAAAACAGTAAGTATGGATATGGCTGGAGTGCGGACTGTCAGCTACTCTGCTGGGACCAACAGCCTGAATATTTCCAAGTGGTGTTGGGACCTGAGAACTGACCTAACGATCAGCCCTGGTCACCACAGGCTGCAGGACGACTGCGCTGGTGGCCTATGACTAGAAAGGGAAACAGCAAGGAGGGAGACAACCTGAGCTGACTTTCCACTGTCCAGAGGGTGCAGCCATTTTGATTGTTTACACGCGGCAGCCGTTTTGGACATTTAAAGTGACCAAGGGCTCAGTCATTTTTGAATGTTCAAAGTGGTGACCATTTTGGATATTTAAAGTAACTGAGGGCACAGCCATTTTCAATCTTTACAAGTAGCAACCATTTTGGATTTTAAAATGATAGCATTCTCATTTGGATTCCAGGGACCTAAGACTAGGCTCTGTTTGCCAAGGTCAGCAGAGACATACAAGAGGCTGACAACAGGAAAGGAGACAGGTGGTAAGTGTATAAGTGCTATCAACCAGTGAACAGTGGAGCATAGCACAGTACCCTGCTTGCATAGATAACACACAAACAAAACAAAGGAAATGAAAATCATGGGCAAGTCACTCCAACATACAATAACCAATGAAATATAAACACAAAAACGTCACAATGCCTCAGAGACATCAGAGCATCATAGTCCATACAAAGAAGCAAGATAAAGCAGGAGAAACAAAAGACTAGGATGCAGACCTAAAACACATCCCTGAGGAAGACATAGCACTG